CCAGCCCTCCCTCAGGATCCCCCCCCAGCCTTCTCGGGGGGGGGGATCTGGGCCCCCCGTCCCTTCATCCCTCCGTGCCGTTTGCAGTCACCGTGGAGCAGCACATCGGGAACATCTTCATGTTCAGCAAAGTGGCCAACGCCATCCTGTTCTTCCGCCTCGACATCCGCATGGGGCTGCTCTACCTCACGCTCTGCATAGGTGAGCCCTGCTGGGGCCCTGGGGCAGCCCTGGAGCCCCCAGCCCAGCCTGTGCCCTGACTGTGCCCCCGGGAGAGCCCCCTTCTGCCCCTGGGTGACCCTCATGGCTGGATGGGGCTGTGGGTGTGCAGAGTATCCTTGGGGGAACGTCTCCCTGCCCCAGGCTCGCTGCGTCCTGCCTCTGGGGCAGAGGAGCCCTGGCCCAGCCTCAGCCTGGCTCTGTGGGCTCAGGGTGCTGTCCCTGCAGTGTTCCTGATGACCTGCAAGCCCCCCCTGTACATGGGCCCCGAATACATCAAGTACTTCAGCGACAAGACCATCGATGTGAGTATCCCCCCATCCCTGGGGGTCTCGGGGGGCTCTGCCCTCCTCCCCCCCACCCTGAGCCCCTGCCCCTGTGGCAGGAGGAGCTGGAGAGGGACAAGCGGGTGACGTGGATCGTGGAGTTCTTTGCCAACTGGTCCAGTGAGTGCCAGTCCTTCGCCCCCATCTTCGCCGACCTCTCTCTCAAGTGAGTGGTGCCCGCCGGGATCTCGGGGGGTCACGGGGGCTGTGGTCCCCCGTGCCCCCCCCAGCTCTGTGTCCCTTCCTGCCCAGGTACAATTGCCAGGGGCTGCAGTTTGGGAAGGTAGACGTGGGCCGGTACACGGACGTCAGCACCAGGTGTGGGGGACGCGGCCTGGGTGGCAGGGCCCACCCCAGGGTGGCCCCTGTGACCCCCTGGCCCCCTTGGGCCGCCCGGGGCTCACCGTGGGCCTGTCCTGCTGCAGGTACAAGGTCAGCACCTCGCCCCTCACCAAGCAGCTGCCCACCCTCATCCTGTTCCAGGGGGGCACGGAGATCATGCGGCGGCCGCAGATTGACAAGAAGGGCCGGGCCGTGTCCTGGACCTTCTCCGAGGTGGGTGGGACCTTCCTGGCCTGTGCCTGGGAAGGGAAGGGGGCCGTGGGGGTCCCTGAGGGTGCTGATGCTGCCTCTGGGCCACAGGAAAACGTGATCCGGGAGTTCAACCTCAACGAGCTCTACCAGAAGGCCAAGAAGCAGTCGAAGCCGCGGGAGGAGGGGCCCGAGGAGGCCCCGCCCGCGCCCGCAGCCGCCGGGCACCCCGAGGGGGAGACCAAGAAGGACAAGTAGAAGCTGCCCTGCGCTGTCGCCCATCACCACGCCGCCATCACCCTGGTGGCACCGGCCTCGCCCGGCCCTGCCCGGCGCCGCTCTCCGTGGGGGCCGGTCCCGGCCGAGCCCCGGGAGAGTGGCAGGGCCCCCCGGCCCGGTGCAGGCAGGGCGGTAGGAGGGGCCCCGCCTCGGTTGTAACGCTCGCTCTCTCTCATCGCTGACAATAAACGGTCCATGCGTTGCCCGTGTCCGGTGTCCCGTATCCCAGGATCCCTCGTCCCGGTGTCCCGTGTCCCGGTCCGTGCTGGGGGTGGGGCTTGCCGACGAAGGCGGGGCCGATGCGGACGCTTCGCGCTCTGATTGGCTGGTGCGGGCGCGGGCGGAGCCAGAGGCCCTTCCGGCCACGCCCCCTCCCGGCGGCGCGCGCTCCCGGCACGTGGCCAGCGGCAGGTAGGGCCTGTTCCCCCCCACCCCTTTCCCCGGGAACCCCCCCCCTTTCCCTTCTCCCTTCCCTTCCCTTCCCACCCACACGCCGTGGTGGCATCCCTGGGGACCCCCTTCCCGCCCCCCACAGCAGCATCCCAGCAGGAACACCCCTTTTTCCCCCTATGGCGCATCGCCGGGAACCGACCCTTCCTGACCCCATCCCGAAGCAGGGTCCGCGTGGCCGGGGGACACCGGCGTCCCTAGAGTCCCTTCCCACCCCCCAGCGGGATCCCCGGGACCCCGCTCCCCGCGGCGGGACCTCGGCGTAGCCCCCGCCACTCCGGCTCTCGCAGGATGGCTCCCCGCGGCAGGAAGCGCGGGGCCCGGCAGCCCGCGGCGTCCGAGGCACCGGAACCGGCGGAAGCCCCGCAGAAGCGGGCGCGGGCCGAGGCCCAGGACGAGGGCAGCCCGGGGGGCACCGGCCCCCGCGTCGTCATCGAGCACTGGTGAGCGGCCCCAGTGCCGGGCGGGGGTTGGGGGGGAGGCCCTCGGGGTGCCCCCCGGGGCGCTGACCCCCGTTGTCCCCACAGCAAGAGCTGACGGGTGTACGGCCGCAACGCGGCGGCGGTGAGCGAGGCCCTGCGCGGGGCCATCGCCCACCTCGCCGTGGACATCAACCCCCGGCCGCCGCGCAGGAACAGCTTCGAGGTGTCCCTGGTGAAGGAGGACGGCAGCAGTAAGTGCTGGCCCGGGGCGGGGGCGGCGGGGGCTCCCCGGCCCCCCTGACCCGGCCCCCCTTCCCTCCCCAGCCGTGGAGCTGTGGAGCGGCATCGCCAAGGGGCCCCCCCGCAAACTGAAGTTCCCCCAGCCGGAGACCGTGGTGGAAGCCCTGAAGAGCAGCTTGGCATAGGGGCGTTGTCCAGGTGAGCGGGGAGAGCGGGGATGGGATGGGATGGGACGGGATGGATGGGATGTGGACCAACCTCCCCCTCACCACAGCCCAGCCAGGACCGGCACCTGCGGCACGAGCGTCCATGAAGAGGCGAGACCAACTGGGGGGCACTGCCAGCCCCAGTCCTGTCCCCGATGCTGCAGCTCTGCCACGGCCGGACCCCTGGCTCCCCCCACGCCCCCTTGTTCCCTCCAACCTCCAATAAAGCTCCACACCCCACAGCACAGCTCCAGCCTTTTATTCAAACGATGCAGAGGCCAGGGGGTGCAGCCCTGAGCCAGCCCTAGGTGAGGACATCCACCTCCTCATCTGACTCGGAGGAGGGGCAGGGCCAGAGGCAGACTGTACCTGCGGGCAGGAACGGCTCCACTGTGCCCACATCCACCTCCTCCTCCTTCTCAGGGTCGCCTCCAGGGAACGCCTGCCCACAGCCCTGCTGGGGTGCAGGGGGCTCCCCACCCTGCTGCCTCCAGGCTGCACAGGAGCTCTGCCGGGGCGGGGACTGCCCGCTTCCCAGTTCACCCACGTCCAGGGGGGGCTGTGCTTCCATCACCCCCACATGGCCCACTGGCACCGTGGGAGAGGCGGGCAGGGGCTGCGTGTCCTGCACCACCTCCCAGCACCCCCTGCTCTCCACCTTCCGCAGCCTCACCCGCCTGATGGGGCTGAGGTGTGTGGGCCCCAGAGAGCATGGCTGCCCCTGGGGGGACACCCCGGTGCTCCCAGGGGGAATGCTGGCACCGCTGGGCGCAGCCCTGTGGAGCAGCGTGGCGGGGGAGCCCTGCTGTGGGGAGCACAGGCAGGAGCGGTTGAGCTGCCGCTGGGGTCCCAGCCTCACCAGGCGTCCCCCCTGGAGCTGCAGCGCCTCCAGCTCGGTGATGCGGAGGCGCCGGGCAGCCGCCAGCACCTCCTGCACCTCCTCCTGCGCCACCTCCAGCTCGGCCGTGTAGAAGAAGCGCACGAGCTTGCGCAGCACCCCGATCTTCAGCCCCGCCAGCTCCAGCACCACCCTGCAGCCCCGAGGGGGCAGCTCCGGGCCCAGCTGCTCCATGAAGAAAGGGCTGCAGACTGAGAGGACGCTGCAGTGGGCCACCACCGCCTCGCCTGCAAAGCAACGGCGGCTGTTACTGCCCCGCAGCCCGTCCTCCTCGCCCTGATCCCTCCGGGGGGGGCGGGGGTCGCAGGGACCCCCACGGGCGGTGTCGCCCGCTCACCGCTCACCCTCGGCCCGCAGCACCACGTCGCAGAACACGTCCGCCCGCTGCTGCTGCTGGTGGAGGAGCTGGAAAGCCGCGCGCAGCAGGCGGGTGCTGCGGTACCGCAGCGGCGGGGGCGCTGGCACAGAGCCCATGGGTGGCCTGCGGGGACACACAGTGCGGCACCGGCAACTCGGGCGCTCGGGCACCTGCTGTGCTCTGCGGGCCGTCCCGGACGGTCCGGGGCTGGAATTGCGGGTGCAGCAAAGCTCCGTGTCCCCGTGACCCTTCCCCGGACCTCACCGGGTCCCCGCAGCACCGGGCCGGCGCTGCCACCAGGGCGGCGACACTGCGGCCGCTTTGGAGCCGCCGCGGCTCGAGAAACCCCTCCCCGCCCCGAGTCCGCCGCGTACCTGCCGAGGGAGGGAGGGTGGGCGGGCGCGGGACAGCGCCGGAGGCCCCGGGGCGTGTGCGTGGGGACGATCCCGAGCCCGGCAGTGCCCGGGGAAGTGGCCGGGAAGTGGCCGGGAAGTGGCCCGTGGCCGCCCTCGCGCCCTCCGCCTCGCGTGGCGCCACCGCCTCGCCCCGCCCCGCCGCGCCCGCCAGCCAATTGGCGCCGGCCGCGCGCGCCCCCCGGCCAATGGCGGCGCGGCGGGGGGGGGGGGGCGGGGGGGGGGGGGGGGGGCCCGCGGGGGGGGGGGGGCGGGGGGGGGCC